AAATCTTTATCATTTATTTCTAGCAAAGCTTCCAGACTCTTTCTGAGTTTGTGCAACTAAGAAGATCATTTATTTGAAAGTGAAAAACACCATACCAGTATAAGGCTTTTTTCCTTTTCCAATCTGTCCCTGGTCATTTATCTCAGAATTTATCTTCTTTCTATCCGATCTACTATTTATTCCTCAAGTTTCATAGGACATCCTCAAGCCTCTCTGATTGCCTTGGATTATTTTTGTCACCTTCGCTCAATTATTTTTACACTGTTCACATGGACTATTACTTCATTCAGCTTCAGGGAACATCAGCCTTAGAAAGCATTTATTAAGCACCTAATTAGACATAACACTGCACTTGAAACAGCCGACAGGAGTCCAAACCAGGTTGACATAGTGGGAAAGGTTGGGAGCACAGCCTCAGCACACCTGGGTCTAGTTCCACGGCTGCCTCTTACTAGCTTGTTACCTTAGAAAAGACACTTAGCCTTCTTGAGTCTCAGACTACTGATTTGTAAAATATCACCTATAATTATGCCTGTCTTGCCAACCTCATGGGCTGATTGGAGGATTGTATGAAAGAAAGCATGTGAATCTTTTGAGACCAACAAACCAATAATTATGTAAGACAGCATTGAAACAGACATAGAATCTCATACAGAGACCTAGAAAAATTCTAGAACAATCCCATATAAGGAGCAAATAGAAAAATGGCAGAAGACATGCACAGAAATAAACAAACATGTATTCAAATAGGCGTCAGGTTCATTTTTGAAAGGCAGTTGGCAGGGAAGGATGTGTCAGTGTTACAAATATGACTGGGAGCAGAAACAGGTTAAGTCACAGTCATATGGAATATTCAATGACAAAAAAGAGGAATGACTATAAGTGTATCTTGAAGATTACACTGATGTGATTCTCTAGGTAGTGACACTAATGCCTTCCATAATGGTGTCTGAGTAGATGACCTCTTGTAATTAATATGGATTTCTGCCTTTATCAGCAACTGAATATACCTCTGTGTCAGATGGGTAAAAAGAAATATAAAGCTTCCAAGTGAGTTAGTTCAGATAAAAGCACATGGCTTGCTTTTATCCATATAACATCTCCAAACAGTGCTTTCTCACAGGACACAAAAGAGATGAATCGAGTGTCTTTATAAAATAATAAAATAAAAAAGATGGCTTTGGGTGATACCTAAGTTGGTACTAAAATTTGAGTAAAATATTACATTGGAAATCTTGCCTTGGCTACTTTTGTTCATTTATTTAACAAATGTTTATTCGGCATCTCCTTTGTGGCAGGCACTCCTCTGTGCCATTGGAATCTCAGTGAATGTAATGGACAAAAATCCCCACCCTTGTAAGTCAGGTGGATTCTTGAGTGGAGGCAAGGAAGAGTCAGGAAGACAGGCTATATGCAATAAACCTAGTAAATAAGAAAGCTACAAAAGAAATGAGAAAGTGATCAATGCTACAGAGAAACAAACAATTTAAAGGGGCTTAGAAGTGTAGGGTGGGGTGGCTGCAATTTCCAATCCTGGGGTCGTTTTAGCTTTTTTCTTTGTGATGTAAGTGCCTTGACCTTAAGCTTTTGATTACTGAGGCATCCACTTTAAAGACATCCATCTCTAAAAAATATATTGCCCACTAGCAACTAGATAAAGAGCCCAGCCACCACGCCCATGCAGTTCCCCTTTCATAAAGCCCTGGGTGACTTAAAAACTGACAACTTGAGTGACTCTGCTTCCTGTCCCGCCCCCAACATTTTCACTCCCACTCTTATGCTTTAAATTCACCAGTAAAGAATGAACCTGTAAAACTCATCTTCGACCTCAATGAAAGCAGGATCCCAGGTCTGTGCTCCCTCCCTCTCGCTACCTGTGACCTGGCTGTGTGGCCTTAGACTTGCCAGGTACCCTCCTGGACCTGTGAGTAATAACCTTGCGTTTTCAAAGTTCCCTGATGATTGTTGTGGATGTGCATCTTGCAATCATAGGAACCACAAGGGCTGGTCCAAACGTCTGTAAAGGCTTCCATGAGTAGGAGGGGCCCAGGCAAGTGCCCCAGGCATTCTTAGCTGATAACATCACTATGGATAGGCTGAGACTGACACAAAACCTTCCACTCACATACTCAGGACAGAAGAATACCCAAAAAGGCATCATCTTCACTATTATTCACTTGAATTTTATACACTAGACACATAGAAAGAGAAAGTTAATAATTGTGTGATTTATGGAGTTTACATTCTCTCTCCCGCCAGCACCACTGAACCTAGAACTACTCTAAGTGGGAGCAAAGGACATTTTGATCCACAGTAATAGAAAATGTTTAAAAATCAAATACTCTTGAGATAGAAAACATAGAGATTGAACTCCTAAGTCTTTTACTCATTGTGGCACTGTTGGTGGAAAAGGGTTAGGCCAGGATGAGAAGATGAGAGAGCACAGGAGGCCCAAGGTCAAGAGGAGGAGGAGACACCAACAGGGGATGGGAAGAAAAAGCCCAGCGTATTAGCAGCTTCCTGACTATTTCCAACCGCCCTGATCAAGAGATGCTCAGTAAGTTTGTTTAATGAAATGCCTCACATCTTCTAAGTCTACTCAAAAAGCTTAGACCTTAAGGTACAGGGCAGAACTGAGAGAACCTCAGTAAAGGTCAAGGGCCTGCACAGCCTCATGGACTGTGTGGAGAGTAAGAGAAACAGCTTGCGTGGGAGATAGGAGGTACAGCCTGGGAGCAGAAATAATAAGAAATTAATCATTTTGGCGGGGGGGAATTTTTTCTCCTACCTTTCTAAGGTTTTCTGGGTGGTCTAGTAATCAAACTGACATAGGGCTATTTGATAGGAGAATATGTACATATTACATATGTACATGCAGGAGTTCCATAAGAACAGGGAGGAAAAAATTTTTTTCTCCTACCTTTCTAAAGTTTTCTGGGTGGTCTAGTAATCAAATTGACATAGGGCTATTTGATAGGAGAAAATGACCAAATTTATTACATATGTACATGCAGGAGTTCCATAAGAACATGGGACCTGAGAACAAATCAGACGGTTGAGGATTCTTTACCATTTTGAGCTAAGGAGAAAAAGGGGTTTGTGGTTTGGGGCTTCAAAGGGCAGGAAAGCAATTCACATACTGATAGAAAAGTAATGTTTGGTAGATAAATGGTTGCTGGGCCATCTTTAACAATGAGACATGGAGAACTTTGATCAAAGGGGGCTTTGTTGGGTTCCTCTTTTTCTCTCACACAATAGTTTATGTTAAACTATAGTTATCTATGATGATATCTCCCTTAGTGGAGCAGGAAGTCTATCTAAATTTGGGGGGGGGCAGTTAGGGGAAAGGTTAAAGTTTCTTCCTGAATTGTTCATTTTTAAAAAATAAGTAGCTTAAAATACTATCCTCCAAATTGCTATTTTGGAGTGGCAAACTGCTCCTCCTCACATTCATGTTTGGTCTGCGGTGATTGAAAAGAAAAATAACTTCTTGGTAGTTCCAACTATCTCGCATCCGGGCCAGTTTATACCTTACAACACTCCACCTGCTGCAGGCTAGCACTGATTTTGTTCCGAAGCTATTTAGGCTCAATGCTAATGTGTTTGTTGTTGGTTTTTTTTTAACTGTTTACTTCTCACAAGTATTATAGGGAATTAATCAATTGAACATTAACATAAAAATATATTTCCATTTACTTGTATAACAAATTTTATAAATTCATTTTAATTATGTCATTTAAAAATTATGTTTTTTATGATTTATCTTGGCAACTTCTAGGCCTGGGATGGGGATCAGATGTATCAGATGACATGGGAGGAGCCTAACCTACTGCTATGCTAGTTACTAAGGAACTGTTGGATGTAGATGCAAACTCAAGGCATGGCTTAGTTTGTCCTCAGCATAGGTTACGGGTGGTGATGGCTGCCCAAGTGGAGACCTACCTGGTTCAGGGAGCCTCCTCAACTGGCCTTCTGAGGCAACAGCTCCCTATCTTTTCAGGTATGAGATGTCCCCACATCAAAAACTTTCATAAGCCCCACTGTATCATTTATTTTTAAAATACTTTTGACAAGAAACTACAATAAAGAATTTGACATGTTAAAGTTAATTTTGTTGGCCAACAAATATATGAAAAGATGCTCAACATCGCTAGCTATTAGGGAAATGCAAACCAAACCACAATGAGATACCATCTCACACCTGTTAGAATGGCTATAATCAACAGGACAAGTAATAACAAATGTTGGAGAGGATGTGGAGAAATAGGAACCCTCATACACTGCTGGTGGGACTGCAAATTGGTACAGCCAGTATGGAAAATGGTATGGAGGTTCCTCAAAAAGCTAAGAATTGATCTACCATATGATCCAGCAATCCCTCTACTGGGTATTTACCCCAAAGACTGGAAAACTCGTATTTGAAAAGATATTTGCACATAGATGTTCATAGTAGCATTATTCACAGTGGTCAGGACATGGAAGCAACCGAAGTGTCCTACAATAGATGATTGGCTAAAGAAGCTGTGGTACATATATACAATGAAATTACTCAGCCATAAGAGATGAAATACTGCCATTTCAATTACAATGAAATTACTCAGCCATAAGAGATGAAATACTGCCATTTGCAACAACGTGGATGGACCTTGAAATAATCGTACTAAGTGAAATAAGCCAGACAGAAAAGGTTGAAAATCATATGATCTCACATATGTGGGATATAAACCAAAAAGCAACAAATAAACAAGACAAACAAATAGAGACTCATGGACATGGACAATAGACTAGTGGTTACCAGAAGGGCAGGGGGAGGGGGAAAACAAAAAAAATAAAATGTTTAAAAAAATTATGTATATATAGTATGAAAAAAATAAACTGGCATAAAAAAAGATAAAGTTAATTTCGTGTAGTACAGAACATGGCAGCGCCCTCTCACACTGTGTATAAGTTGGTCTACAGACAGTGCTTGGTGGGCATATCGATATGATGAGCCACACAGGTTCTTCGGACATGGGGTTTATTAACAACAACATAGTGATTATTTTAAAAGAACTAATGCAATAAACAAACTACAATTTGCCAATGGTTAGCGTAAACCTAATACGTATGGAAAACTGATATATCCAGCTGTAGCAGATTCTAGCCTTAAGCCTGTCCCAGTGATGATCCTGACCTATCCTGTTTTGGTTTGACTCTTTTATTTGCCTCCAGCCTGGTCTCTCTAGCTGCCTGGCACTCATGGATGTACGTTCTGATGTATTCACTGCAGAGAGAACTCAGTCACTTTGCATATCTCAACGTGCAGTTTTTAAAGCATAGGTCTTCCGCCCCAAGTTAATGGAGCAAGAGTATCTCAGTTGTTCTCATGCTTGCTCTCTCCCTGTTCCTGTGGGTCCAAATCCATAAACAAGACTTGCATGTGGTGTCCCCTGAAAATGGGCCCTGTGGCAGGAGAGAGTTTATAAATCACAGGCTTTGTACTTCGTGTGGCCTGAAGATTCTCCTCCATCTTCAACGGTCTTTTCCTGCAGGCTCATTTCCTGTTTTCACTACAAATATGGGAACCACAAGAAACACCTGTCCCTGTTGACAAGCTTAACCTTCCTTACAGCTAGAACCCTGCTGAGCCCTATAGAGTCATGGTCATAACTGGTGGTGGGGGTATGGGGGTAGAGGGACAATCACTGGGATCCAGGCTGCTGTCAGTGTCTGACCAAGTTTCTGAGATGTCCGCCAAAGAATAAGGAGAATTCCAATGAGAAAGGAACTAAAAATCTGGAGAACCATTTCAATACCAAATTGAGAGCAGCTGGGTGGCAGCATTACCCGTGTAAAGACTGTATCCGGGGCCTTGGCACCACAGCAGTAGAAGGGGTTTAAGATTTCTCTCTTCAGAGCTGCAGGTGGAGGAGTAAGGGGAAAATACCTAGGCATCTCCGGACAAGAGTGAACAGCTCCTCAACAGGTCCTGAAACGCAACCACTTTCCTGAAGGTAAAATTTGCTTCTGCCCTCACTCACTTGTAGTGCTGGGAGCTGTCACACTGTTGGCACCAAGGATTGAGGACACTTCAGCCCAGATCCAGCAGAATTATGAGTGATGGGGCTGAACAGAGGGATTCTTGACTCATCTTCTTCTTCTTCATCATCATCATCATCATCATCATCATCATCATGCCAAACCAGTTTCTGGGAAGCAGTCTAATTAAAAGTAGAAAGAAGTTCACTGTAGCAGCCAGTCAACTCTGTAAATCCCAGCTCCATCACTTACTAGTTGTTTAGTATAGCCAGCCCCTTAACTTCTTTATGTCTTTTGTTCATTTCTTAAATCACCTTTTATAGGTGATTTCCTCACCTATAAAATGGTAGTCACAGCAGCACCTACTTATAGGGCGAATAGGCTTACAATGAAATTGAGGTCTAATATTAGAGTGATTCAGAGCTGTAGGTTAACAAATTTGATTCCAAGTGTAGCACAAAGGAGGCCCTCAATAAATATTAATTCAATGAATTAAGATTAATAATAAATTCTTCAGACGAGGCAGCTTGAAATAAATGTTCATGACTGATAAATTATGTGCAAGTGAGTTTTACAAGGGACTGCTGATACATTGTGGGCTGAGATGACACTGAGTCTTACATAGAGAGAAAATTCCAGAAGACAAATTAATATATGATTCTATAGAAATGGCCATGGCATTAAGATACCTGAATTCTAGTCCTGGTTCCATTATTAATTTGCTCTGTGGCATTGAACAAGTCTACTTCAGGTTCAGGCAGGGTGGGAGGTTGTTTGTTTGTTTTCATTTGTGAACTGAAGTTGGCCCAGATTATATCCAAGGTTCATGTCTACTTAGTGTATGATTCAGTAATGATCTCTGCTATTTATACAAGAAAAGCTACTTGTGAAGCAAGTGAAAAGTAATTTTAAGGAAAAAGAAGATCTGTGTCCTATTGATAAATATGCCTAATTTTCACCAGGATAAACATCATCATGATTGTGAGTCACCATTATCATTATTGTCGTCATCACTGCTATCACTGACTATTTACTGTGTGCCAGATTGTGCACTACAGCACGTTACACACATCATTTTATTAAATCCTCTCAACAGTTCTTAGTACTTTACAAGACCCATTCAAAAGGAAAGATTTATGTTCCCTAAAGAAAAGAATCGGATAATTACGGATTATGTAACTAAAAGCTACCATTCATTAGTAGTCTTCTACATGCCAGGTGCTTTACATACCTTTTTTTCTAAGCCTCATAACAACCCTGCAAAGTAGGTAATACAAGTCCTGAGTTAGTTTTCAATTGCTGTGTAACAAATTACCATAAACTTAGCATCTCAAATCAACACATTTCCAGGAGTCAGGAGTCCAGCACGGCTTAGCTGGGTCCTCTGCTCAAAACCTCACAAGGCTGCAGTCAGAGCGTCATCTGGGCTATGACCTCATCTTATCCATGTCTTCTTTCAAGTCCACTGCCATCTTCTCCAAGATGGCCTGCCCCTGAAATGACAGCTGAAGTTCCCTGTGGTTATCACACTGAAGTCCCTACATTTTGCAGGTTGTCAGCTGGGGCTGTTCTCTAGCATGTGGTCTTCCTCACAACATGGCAGTTTGCTTCTTCAAGGCAATCAGGAGAATCTTCTCGACTCCTGTCTCTGACCTCTAGACCCTCTTTTCAAAAGCTTTCTTGATTAGGTCAGGCCCACCCAGGACAGTCTCCCTTTTACTAACTCAAAATAAACTTATTTGGTACCCTGATTACTTCTGCAGAATCCCCTCACCTTCGCCATACAATGTAAAATAATCACAAGTGTGATGTCCCACCATATTCACAGGTCCCACCGCACTCAGGAGAGAAAATTATCCAGGGCGTGCGTACCACAGGGCAGATATCTAGGGGGACATCCTAAAACTGTGTCACATGCCCTGTCTTAGAAGTCATAAGATGTTTGTCTAAAGTCCCATGGATAATAAGGAGCAAAATTGGACTTGCAGTCAACTGTCAGAGTTCTGAGCCCGAGACCCTTCTTACACATCACACTCTTGTTCTAACAACAAACTTTACATCCCCCAAATGAACCCATTACCGAAGTCATCTGGGGCACCTGCAGTTCATAAAACACTTTACTTCATGTAAAATTCATCATGATCAAATTAAGTTCAAGATTCCCCTGGGAGCCCCTCAGCTCACATGTCAATCAACTCTAGGCTAAGCCATCAAACCCAATTACCCAGAAACCAGCTGCCATAAACTATTAATAAAGCCATATGAAGTAAGGGAGCAAAAATCTTTACTCTGTTGTCTCTTTTCTGTCTTCTCTTCCCCTCACTGTCTGCCCAGGTGTCACACCATTGTTCATGAAGCTTCTGCATTTGGCCAGTTTCCTGTCCCAGCTTGTCATAATTCTCCACTTCTCTGACCCTGTGCCCTACATCGATTGAGCTCTCAAGAAATGTCTGCTAAATCAAATACTTCTCACCTGGTCATAAGCATATTTCAGACTATCTTAATTTTCTCCCTTAAAGCATCAAGTGTTTGGAGGCATTTGAATTAACTGATGTTTCATGCGTATAGGGCTGTGTCCACATAGACAGTGCCTTTTGTCCGCTGGCCCTCTGCCCCAACAAGCTCGTGGAGGATGTAGCTGCGCACTGGCTCAGGCATCTTTCTCCTTTCTCCACACAGCAGTGTGATGCAGTTCTTTTCCTACACTAGAGAGCAGAGTGTAAGGAATTAACATCTGTGGAACACATACTAAATGCTGTATACCTCACACATACAATTATTTATTACCTCTTAACAGTTGTCGAACCAAGGCTCAGAGAGATTAAATAACTTGTCTGAGGTTATGCAGCTGTTCATGCTGCAACTAGAAACTGAATCCAGAACTGTGTGATGG